GCCCCCCCCGCCGCCCCCCCCGCCACTTCTCCTCCTCGTTGGTGCGCTGGATGAGAAGAGCCGTGGCCGCGCTGCTCCCGGCGAGGGGAAAGACACTGTGGTTGGAAATGAGGCTGGGCACGGGGTGGTGGGAGGCGGGCGGCTGGTGCAAAGGGTGCTGGACGGCCTTAGGCGTCGGGATGGTCGCGTCCTTGGGTTTCTCTGCAGGAGGAAGAGGACACGCGCGGGTCAGGGAGAACTGTCCACTCAGCGCAGCCCGTCCGTTTGCGGGTGACAGCTGGGCCAGGGGAGTGACCAAGGGCAGCGAGCTTTGCATGTGGCATAGTCACGGGCCCAGTCAGCATCCCAACACAGACCTTAGAAAGTTCAACTAGCGCACAGACAGCCCGCCCGGTGGGCAAAACAGGGCCGGCAGCTGCAAGATCTAGGCTGTAGCCCTGACCTCGCCACAGGCATCTCTGGGATCTCAGGCAAATCCCTGAACCCTCTTGGCCTCACCATCGGTGGAAGGGGGTTAATAGCCTTCCTGCTTCACCCAGGGGCTAAGAGGCTACGTTCACTGATGTCTGGGGCGGGGATGGAGGAGGCTAGGGAAGGACAAAGCTTTGGTACATCGCTAGCCCCAGGAAGCTGCTGGGGGCCCCATCCTGCAGTCAAGGTGGCCCGCCTGCCCAGAAATGGCTCGACACAGTGGCATTCCGGTTGGGACAAGATCCTGGAGCTGGGGCTGGTTTGCACCTCTCAGCTGGCAGGGCTGAGCCTTGCTGTGAGCTTTCAAGGGCTCTCCCAGTGAGCTGCGAGTCTCACAGAAGGCTCACGCGAAGGACAGGCCCAGTGGGAGGCCTCAGCTGGGCTCTGCGGCACGTGGGAATTACCTGGTCTTGTTGGCGTCAGCTGCTCAGCTGGTTTAACACGCTCCTCCGCTGGGTGGCTCCTCAGCCCATGTAGCTCCGCCACCGGCAGAAACGGGCTCTCCATGGCTTTGGCCAGGTTCAGCTCCTTCTCCCGGGCCCTTTCTCGTTGTCGCTCCAGCTCCCGCTCCCGCTCCCGCTCCTTCTCGCGCTCTCGCTCAAGCTCCTTCTCCCGTTCTCGCTCCCGCTCCTTCTCCCGCTCCCGATCAGCCTCCCGCTCCCGCTCCCGCTCCTTCTCACGTTCCCTCTCGCGCTCCCTCTCGCGCTGCCTCAGCTCCTCGTCCAGCTGCAGCCTGGCATGGCCAACAGAACGGCAAAGTTAGTCTCTCCACAGGCCTCCTTTCCCCCCGCCTCCCCGCCCAGCGGCTGCGTGCAGCCTGACCCAGGAAACAGCCCTTACCTCTCAGCGGTCAGGCTGGACATCCGCTCAGACTGAAGGGCCGAGAGCGACGAGTGGGGCAGCTCGGTGGGGTACCTCACTCCCGACAGATGGAGGTGCATGGCTGACGGATGAAGAGGCGGGAGCGAACCCGGCGTGGGGATTGGGTAGAAGGGAGACCGCAGGGCCGAAAGGCAGTAGGAGTCATCCATCCTGGAGCGAGAGAACCGGGCAGGTTGAGAAGCCGCTCAGCTCCCCTCTCCAGCAAGCAGCAGAGGCGAGGAGCGTGCGGCTACTGCAGGGGAAGCACCCATGGGAGAGGGGACTTCGCATGTACGGTGGGCTCCTGTCAACCCGCCAGGGACGAGTGTCCCGGCCTGACTGTCACCACGCGCAGTCTGACGACTCAGAGCCTGCTCCCCTCACCGGCCCTCCGCTGACTTCCCACCGGCCTCCCTGCGGAGAGCCATGGCTCTGCCCCACAGGAACTGGAGACACTCAGCACAGGCAGCTGAGCAAGAGATTTCCCAGCGCCCTTTGCCTGCCCGGGGGACGTGGCCTCAGTGCTGATCCTGCCTCTTTCTCTGGCGAGGGGCTCACGCCGGGGTGCGGACCCTTCTTTTGGGACCGGGGCTGCGGACCCACAGTCGGGGGCCGCACACAAGTGAGAAGCAAAGGAGACAGACACTCCCCACGTTCCCCAGAGCTGAGGGGGCCCCCAGGCTAGTAGACTGTGTGCGCCAGCCCTGCAGCAGGGTGGCGGTGGCTGGAGCACCAGTGCAGGCTCCCCAGTGCTGAGCCTCAGGGGCCAGACCCAGGCAAGCCAGGGACCACATCCCCTCCCCCCCCCGAGCTAAGGAAAGGGGCATCGGCGCTGCTCCCAGCAGCAGAGCAGATGCGCGCCTGGCAGGAAGGGTTCACGCTCAAGGAGCTAGTTATCAGCCCAGCCGCAGGAATTCCCACTGCTGTGGCAAACGACCTCCCTGCAATGCCTTATTACCATTGCACTGAAGCACCCAGGGAACCATCAATTGTGGCTAACGTGTACTTATTTCTGTGCGGCTTCCAAAGCCGACGCTGGGGTAATTGATTGCACCGCTCTGCCTCAATCCACGGCCCCCGCAAGGTGAGGGGAGCAGCTGCTGTCGGCTGGACGCCCGGAGAACAACAGCCGCTGCTCGCTCCCTCTCTCCTTGGCCTCTGACGCTCACCTGAAGGCTGGATGAGGGAAGGGGTGGTGGGCCAGGTAGCCAGGGTGGTAGTAAGCAGCGGCAGTGGCTGGATCCAGGCTGATGGGAGGCAGGGAAGACATGCGCAGCTCCTCAGCGGTGTGGTAGGGCCGGAAGCTCCGCAGGTAATCTTCAGTGACCGCGCTGGGAGGCACCACATGGTGGACAGGCCGCTGCAGGCTGCTGGCGGGGAAGGAGGGAGGGAGAGAGACAGTGACCTTCCCAGTCCCGGAGATTTGCAAGCATCTGTATGTCCTTATTAGCTTGGATCTAGGGAGGGGCAACTCCTACTAAGAGACTAGTGGTTGAGCACAGGAATTACCTGCCCTGCGCCAGCCAGACCCCCCAGTCCTTGCACCCCCGTGGGGGCACTTCCAGGGCAGGCCCACTCCCAAACCACGCTCAGGGGACGAGCAAAAGCCAGGGGGCTGCCTGGAGTGAACGCTACAGAATGCAACCCACCCAATCGCCCTCCCTTCAACTGCCTGGCCCCAGGATCGGCCTGGGAACGGTGGGGCAGCTTGAGCGGAGTGCTGCCCCCACTAGTGAGAGCTGTCAGCGCAGCCGCTGTCGCTGCCAGCAGCCATGCCAGGGAGCACAGTATCACCCAGCCACCATTCCTGGGGTGTGTGTGTTAGATCTCCCCAGTCAAATGTAACCCAGCACGTTTCCCGTACAGTCCTTCAGAGGATGTGCACAGGAATCTTAGGTCTGCGCTGGGGGCGGGTCTGGGTTGGGGAGGGAGCCAGCACTGGTGTTTGGAATGCTGTTCTCCAAAGCAGATTGTTTGAATTACATGTGGTCTTGCCCCACGCCCCACAGCTGTCCCCCAGCTCCCCCCTCCCACCCCTCCAGTCCTTGGAGACAGTCTCAGGCTTCAGCTTTGGTTTGAATTTGTCGCCTGCTCCTGGGTTGGTTGCTTTGAGGTTTTGAAGCATACATGGAGAAAGACGGCTTCAGAGTTGTGGTTTGGGTTTGTGTTGGAAGAACCCCGGATAGGACAGGCGGGAGCAGCACACAAAAACCGCATGGCTCAAGGCAACGTCTGTGATGAGATTCCCAGCCACAGAACACGCGTCCTGGAACTTGATGGGAGGTGACCGGGCAAGAAATACAACGGGTGAGCCACTCCGGGGACTAGCAAAAGCCAGGGGGTTGCAGATCTCGGTTCTGTGTTCCTCGGTTCCTGCTCTCTGTCCTATGCCAGGAGCTAAACAAACATCCTCCTACAGAACGGCCTGCTCTCCGGGGACGCCGAATTCCTTGGGGCGCGGGTGGGAGCGAAAAGAGCCCCCAGGGAACTAGCTTGGAACAGGGCAGGCAGACGCCAGGCACTGAGGCGCAATAGCAGGCCACCCCCCTGGAGGATTCGCGTGTGGGAAGTGCCAGAGCCTCGCTGGCAGCACACGCATAAACCCGACACCGCGGGAGGCTGATGCGGCAGCGCCTGTTCCCAGCACGCGCCCAGGGACTCGACTCACTTTAAAGGCGGGAAGCGGGAATCCTGGACGACGGCGGTGGGGGGGATCCCGAAGGAGTAAGGTGTCCCAAGGAGGTGAGACGGGACAGCGGGGCCCCCGGCTTTCTCCTGGGAGAGCGGCGGCTCGGCCATCAGGCGCTCGCGGCTGCTGCTGCTGCCTCTCGATCCTGCTTCTTGCTACAAGACAACAAACGACCTGTCAGTGTCAGGGACAAACCGCCCAGGGCAGAGGGTGGGGGGAGGACAGACGAAAAGGCAGCAGATGTGCTCCCTGTGCTCCCTGCTAGTCTGGGGGGTCCCAGGGTCACCCTGTGGAGAAACAGCCCCACTTCCACTCAGCTCCCCAGCAATGGGTTTCCTGGAGGAGGCTATCGGCTCCTGTCCTGCAGTCAGACCCACGGCAGCTGCAGGGAACTGCTCAGGAAGACTCCCTTTCTCCCGAGTGATGTTACTGGATTCTGGGATGAAAATGCAAAATGCAGCCCCTTTGCTATGCTGGCACACAGTGGGCCAAGGGAGGTGCCCAGGTACTGGCCTTCCGGATATGGCTTCTGGGAAATACCAGCCGGCGTTCCCCACCTGTTGTGAAAGGGCAGCGAGGGAAGTGACTGTAAGTGGTGCTGCTGCGAACCTGCAGCCCACACGTACGCCACGGCTGCCTGCCTAGGTGACTCGTGTGACAAACTCCACCCGGGCAGGTCCTTACATGCCAGTGGGGTTCCCGCCCCATGAGCGCAGACATAAAAAGAGCCCGAGAGGTTCCTCCGTTTGGCTTCACGCCAGCTCATCCCTTCAGGGGCAGCTTTGCTATGGACTGAGCCCAAAAGAACTCAGGCCTCTTCCTACCAAAGGACGTACCCCAGAGACTTGGAGGATAGCGGTTCATCCATCTCTGCTCCGAGCCTGCACGGAGAACGTCCCTTTGGTGCATGTATGTCCTTGGATTTCTTTAACCATTTTACTCTCCACCTTTTCTCTCTTTTACTAATAGCCCTTCAGAGTAGATCTTCAATTCTAAAGGATTGGCTCTGTTGGGTGAGAGCTGAGGTGCAAATCGGCCTGGGGCTATGGCTGGTCCTTTGGGATCGGAGGTGGTGAGATGGGTTTTCATCACCCCACACCTGCGTAAGGACGGGTACCAGTGGTGGCCCAGGAGTGTCTAAGGAGGTTGCTTGTGTGATTTCTTGCTGGCCAGTGTGGCAAACAGAAATGCTCTTTTGACTGGTTTGGCGCCTTATAGATGAGGCCCTCCCGTAGCCCTGTTTCGAAGCAGTTTGCCCCGATTTGACCCTCTCAGCAGAGCCCCCAGAAACCTGCTCCGTTACACCCCGTCCTTTGGGAGCGGGGAGCAGAGGGGCCTATGCCAAGGCTGCGCCACGTGGACGACTAGCCCGGCCAGCCCCATGGCTCAGCGTAGTTTCTGTGGTGCAGCTGTGCATCCTGGCTGGCCGTGGAAGCGCCCGGATCTAGGGGGATGTGCTTCAGACTGAACCTAGGCCAATCTCTCCTCCCACCCCATGGCCCTGCGCTACAGGAGGGCTGAGCGCACACAGCGTCCCCTGACTCCTCAGCTCAGAAAACGAGCACGTGGGAAAGAGATGGAGGGGCGTCGGGCGCTGGCCCCGGGAACTTTGCCAGGGGGCGAACGGAAGGCGGATGTCAGGGAGCTTCATGCACACGCACACATTCTCGTCCAAACATTGCCACAGTTTAAATCGCTTAAGACAAGGAAAACGCAGAGGGTCTGGGAAGAGCCGGAGGCTCCAGCACAGACCTGCGGACGGGCTGAGAAGACCGCGTGAGCTCTGCGGGAGGAAGGAGCGATCCGCACGGGGCCGTCCTTCACGTCCCCGCCAGCCCATCGTCCCTGGAGCACGGCTGGGATGGCAGCTGCTCGCTCGCTGTCCCAGCTCTCCTGGCGCTGCGGGGGGACACACAGAAGGGGACGGGGGCATTAGGAAGCTGGCGTTTGTGCTGGGATAAGGCAGGCTGGTCTGTCGTCAGCCATTCCCCTAGGCAGCCCTGGCATCAGCTGCAAAGGCAGCTCCTTGCTGGTGTGGTCACAGCACCCCCGCACGTGTGAAAATAAGGGAAGGAGGCTGCTGTTGCCACCACAGCCCTCACCCTCTCCTGGCTGGAGACGCCGCCCCCCGTTGCGGGGACAGACACTGACCCGCTAGTGGGGCTGGCATGGCTCAGGGCATTCTGCGTAACCCTTCAGGGGCTCAAGAGGGCACGGTGGGGAGAAACCACGGGCAGAAAGCGGCGCGCTCGGGGGGGCACAAGAGCTGGGGGGCTAACCCCCCACCCGCAAGGGGGGACAAGGCCCTCTGGCTCTGACAGAGGTTGGCATGGGCCTTGGAATGGCCCTGTTAGACTTGTCCCCTGGCTGTGGTTGGACCACCCCCCCCCGGCAGCAGCCTGGGGGTGGGGCGTGGGAAGGAAAGCAGGAGGAAGAGCGCCTTTGGAAGCTGCCAAATGGCACCCCAAGTTGTGGGCTCCCACGGGTGAGCTGCAAGCCCAGCAGAGGAATGTTTAATGCGAAAGAAAATCCCTGAAGTCGCCCAAAGGAAGAGCACGACACGAGGCTCGGCTGCGCGGGGCACGGCAGAGAAAACGCTCGCGCCGACGGGCGGGGAGCGGCTTTCTGGGCCGGGTTTAGACAGGGCCCAGCGCACTGAGGCCACGGGCCAGGACCGGGGCGCCTATAAAATCCTGCCACAAAGAGCTCCCGGGCCAAAGGACGGAGCCCGCCCTCTCCACAAGCTTCCCTCTGGCAGGATGGGCAAGGCAGGTGGCCGGGGAGTGGGAGACGCCGTATAAACCTTCATCCCGTTGGCCTCCTAACACGCTGCTGGGCGATCAAACAGCCTCCGCTGCGTGGGCCGTTCTGGCCGACAGCCCTGGCTGGCTGGGCTGGTCCCTGTTCGGATCCAGGAGGAAATCCCATTCCCTGAGCCGTTTCCCCTCCCCCGGGGCTGCCCTGCTCCAGCGCTGGCTCCGGGTCACCGCCCGCTGCCCAGCGCCGCTCCCGCCGAGCACGCGGTCTACCCAATGTCTGCACTGCTGTTTCTGCTGAGCCCGCCGGCGTAATGTGCGCTGCCCCCGGCCGAGAGCCAGGCGGTGCTCTGCGGCCCCCGGGCAGGGAGAACAACTTTCTAATGGCTCCACGGGAGCCGGCGGCGCTCGGCAGGGCCCTGCGTGTGTGCAGAGGCGGGAAAGGGGGTCAGAGATGTCCAAAGAAGTCAAAATCAGAGTTCCCGCGCCGCGCTCAGGGGTCCCCCGCCCCTCCTGGAGCTGGTTTTCTGCGCATTTCCAGAGCCACTTCATGATGAAACACGGGTCAGCCCCCCCAGTCTTTCCCCCAGCCCTTTCACTGGGGCTCAGACACCTGCCCCGCTCTGCACAGGGGGCAGATAACCCCACCCTCACAGCTGTATCCCGCCCCGTGCCGGGCATGCCTCGCCCCAGGGCTGGCAGCCACTGACACACTTGCCTGCCGAGCCCTGCGCACGGTACCACAGCTCCGGATAAGCTCAGCCGTGCTCTGCCTCCTCTGAGCAATTCATCCCGTTAGCCCTCCCTGTCCAGGACTGCACCCCAGCAGGGCCATCCCTAGGGGGTGCAGGGCCCGGGGCAACCCCCAGGCAACCCCACCTCCCGCGCCAGGTCCCATGCCCGCACCGCCCCCCTTGCCCTGCCCATGCCACACCTCTTCCCATCCCTGCTCCGCCCCAGCCCTTCCCCCAAGTCCGTTCCCCGAGTGATAAGAGCTGGAGGGGGCCAGGGCCACACTGGCCCCGCAGCTAATGGGGGGGCCCGTCCCGTCCAAAGGACAGTTGAGGTGGCCGTCGCAGGGCCCCCCAAAGTGCGGGGCTTGGAGCAAGCTCTGCACACCGTCTGCCTTTGAAAACAAAGGGAGAGGAATTAACCCATTTCCCACGGGTCGTGGGGACCCCCCGTCACTGGCAATTCTGGAATCCAGACGGGATCTTCCTTCTAAAAACTGGCCCGCGCTGGGGGTCGGACCAGACTGTCACGAGGGCTCCTCCGGGCCCTGTTGTGGGACGCCAAGGAACCCCCAGTTCCCCCTCCCTGACCGCTGCTCCAAGGATTTCCCACCGACTCCTTCCCTGCAGCCGGGGGTCTGGGCGTGGTGCAGGGAGACCATTCTGCAGCCCAGGATACTGCTCCGTGGACAGCCCAGTGGGTTGGCTACCCAGGGCCAGGCCTCTCGCCCCCGTGGGCTGGGTACCGGCAGGCTCGGCTGGACTCATCGGGGGTCGCCTTGCTGTCTTGGGTCACAGCAGCACCCGGCAAGGCTCGCAGGCCATGCTTGGCTGCTACCATCACCGTCTTCCTCTCCCTGCCCTGCTCCCTTGGGCAGCCCTTGGCGGAGCTGCGGATTTCCCCCTCTCCGGACATGGCTCTCCCCCAGCGCTTCCACCGCACGCCAACAAGGCCTCCGCACACCCCTCCGCTTGGGGCTGGAGCACGGACTGGCTCTGGGGAGCGGAAGGGACTGGAGGGGCCACGCCAGCCGACGCTGGTGACGCGTGCTTCCCGCAGGCGGCGCTCAGCTCCTCCGCAAGGCGAGAGGAAGGGAGCTGAGCCTCACGTGGGCACCGGGCACCAGTCCGGGCCCTCGGTTGGACGCTGGAGATGTTCAGCTGCGCGCTCAGCTCCTCCGGCCCCCCCTCCAGACGCCCGGCCAGAGGAGCCAGCCGTTCCTCCTGTCTGGCACGCATCTCCCAGGGAGACGGGGAGCTCGGGTCTGCAATGTCTGCCCTTCTTACGGGGGCCCATCCATCTGCACGGCCCCGCAGAGCGGCATCTTGGAACACACGGCGGCTAAGATTTAAACGGCACCGGGCCAGCACCGTCGGGGGACCTGCCTCCATCCGTCAAGTGTATTTACTAACCCGCGCGCAGCCCATGGCTCCGCCAGTCGTCCTCGGCGCGTCCGCAGGCACATCGGCCATAATTAATTGAAAGAGATGGGCCCCACTGATGGGAATTTCTAATGAGCAAGAACATCTGTTCGCTCGGCGCCTCGCAGGCACCCGGACCCCCACGCTTGGCTGCCTTCACGCCCCGCGGGCCACCTCTGACCCGCTCCAGACGGCGCGTTCGCGGGCTAATGAGGCGACGGGATGGGAGGGAGGGGTCAGGGCGACGGGAGCAAAACCCTTTGGCAGGCAGGGGGCGGGGGCATCAGGGAGAGGAACATGAGCCAAAGGGCAGCCATGGTGCCACGTGGGGCCTCTCGGTTTGAGCCAGGCCCGGCGCTGGAGGAGCAGGAGGGCGCCCCCAATGGGGGCGTGGGTCCGTGCGCAGCTCCCGGCCCATCATGCCCGGGTGGAGATAAGACAGGCGAGTGCGGGGGAGGGAGGAGAGCTCCCACCCGGCCCCCGTTTCACCTGCCTTCAGATTTACAGGCAGCTTTGTTCTCCGGCGCCATTAATCATCCAGGGAGGACACAGACGCCTGTGGAGCTCGAGACAGCCCAGCAAGTATAAATCCAGCCGGCCTTTGATAACGGCCATAAAACAAACAGGTCAGTCAGGCGTTGCACACGGGGCCTTGGAAAGCCAGCCCTGCAGACAGGCTGCCATTGGCACCCCCCCACCCCCCATCAGCCAGACAGCAGGGGCTCCGGACGCGGCCATTTGGAATGGGACTGGGACTTTTGTTCCTAACCCAGGACGAAAACCGCCGTCTCCTCAGCTCAGAACCCAGCTGGCGCACGGGGGGCGAGGGGGTGTGTGTGTCGTGGCAGCAGGGCAGGGCAGGGAAACTCCTGCCCCACCCATCCCACCCCCC